CACACACAATACCCTAACAACCCAATGTGCGCTCACCCCTTTGACGTCGCTCACCCCTTTGACGTCGCTCAACCTGTCGACGCCGCCACCGCTACCGCCTTTGAATCTCTTCCTATAGCTCTAGCTAGGGGTTCTTCTATTATTGTATTCCTCTTTTGTTTGAGTTGTGTTGTATCACTATTTTTATATTAGTGAAAGTTTGTTTTGTTGTATTTTTCCACATCCCGACTAGCTCCGGTATCACCGACCTTAACTGTCGCCGCTAATCCAGCCTTCGACGATGTTCCTGCTCATCTACAGCTGCGGTTCGATGCTGTTATTGTCGTCATTCTGCTGTTCTATTTCTTCCACAGTAGCCCCACCTCTTCGGCCTTCACCGTTGCCACCAATCCAACCTTCCCTTGCTGGACTCCCTCCTCATCAAGCGGTTGTGTCTTTTTTAATGAGTTATCAGTTATAATTCTTTACTTTGTGTTTTTGCTTTGTGTGATGTCTTTTTTTATTTCGAGTTTTCATTATTACATTTTTTTAAGTCCATAATAAAATTGAGATCTACGTCGTGATTTGGGTTAACTCCGGTATCTTTTAGTATCAAAGCTAGCCTAACCCTAGTCCCATCCCAGGGTTTCTAGCACCCGCCCCTACCCAATCCATCACATCAATTTTTTTCAATTCTTTCTTTTGTGTATCTTTTTTTCTTCTTTCTTTTTTCCTTATTTCTTTCTTCTGCAGATCCCAGAACCGTCAACTATGCCACCAAGAAGGAATATGCCTGAGCTTACCCAAGACGAGATACTCTCGACTGTAATTTGGAAGGTCGAAGGGAAGAACGTGAAAATATGAAAACGAAACAGGAAACACAACACTAGTTTTTACTAACTTACTACCACCAAAAGTTTCAGATTCTAGCTTCCGAAGTGGAGAGACTGCATCACCAAGCGACCCCCTTTGCTACTATCTTAAAAAACTAATATGAAAGTCTCTCACAGCCAGAAGATGTTGCAAGTGCCACGGATTTGGATATGTTGAAGCAGAATGCACAACCAAGGGAGAAATCTACTTCACCGAGCAGGGCATAATCGAAAAGTTGGGTAAAGACACTGCAGACACTGAAGAGCAATTCGAACAAGAATTTTCATCCAATGACGTCTTCCCCCGTTGAACTCCCTTGTTCGTAGATGCATCCAATGCCTTTCTTCCATGTGATTAAAAGAAAAATGCGACTTTTGATGAGATTATGATTCCTGCTCTCCCAGAAGATAAAGAACATTTTATTGAGACATGAAAATCATGCAGACCAGAAGATGTCAGAAATTATAATTTCAGTGGGTGGTCTTAGTAACAACTAACTGATAGCATCACAGGTGGCTACATATCCAACCCTCACCCCCAATGTTCCATATGAAGAGACGAAAGATCAATGTGATGCTCTTGCTATTGGAACGTAGCAGAAGATGTCAGTTCTCCAAAACCTCAAAAGTCAAAGAGAAGACGCAGAAGATAATAATAATCACCCATCGACCAAGCTCTTGCAAATCTTCAACCTCACTGAGACTCAACTTGTCATAGATGAGAAACATATGAGATATTTACTTGTTCGAAATTTAGCTTTCGAGAACCTACGTGGTGGTATACTTTCTGCTCAGATTATGCCAAATTAAAACTGATCGATATGGAGATCAATTTTTTTATTTTTCATTAATCCAAAACCTTCTCGCTTCTCCAAATTTTAGTTTCTACTATGATGCACTTCATGATGTTACTGTAGTTAATTCCAAACGCTTTTTTGTTAAAGAACTTGGTGCAAAAAAAAAAGCTCTTTGTTAAATTTCACTCTTAAGAAAGACATCGATGGGGACCATCCAGACCGTAAGCTCACTTATGCCAAGGAATTAGTTGTGCAGATGGGATTGAGCAAATCATAGCCGCAAGATGAACCCCCTATGTTTGGTGCAGCTGTTGATGGTGATGTTGATCGTAATGTGATACTCGGTAAAAGGTTCTTTGTGACTTCGTCTTATTCTATTGCCATCATCGCAACTAACGTTGTGCAATCCATTCCTTACTTTTCTCCTGGGCTGAAGGGTGTCGTCGGGAGCATGCCAAACTCTGCGGTGCTTGATGTTGTAGCAAATAATATAAATCTGAACTTTTTTGAGGTGCCAACTGGATGGAAAATTTTTGGCAACTTAATGAATGCTAGAATTTGTTCGGTTTGTGGTGAAGAAAGCTTTGGGACTAGTTTAGATAATATTAGAATTTGTTCGGTTTGAGAAGGATGGGATCTGGACGGTCTTAGAATGGCTTTCTATTCTTGCCTACAAGGACAAGGACAACTTTAATGAGGGAAAGCTAGTGATAGTAAAAGAAAGTATGTCAACACGGGGCTATTTATGGTCTCCAGTCGAATCTAGTGGTGGCTGACAACGCACGGAAGCTACGACCAATAATGTCGAAGCTCCCCCAGCCCCGGATAACTGACGCGGGGGCTATGGAGGAACGACTGGTCCTCAAAGATAGGGGGGTTTCCGCTCCTTTCCCTTCTCTTCCGTTCACCTCTTTCCTTCTGACCACCTTCCGAATACAAGCATTTCCAAATCAAAATTTTTGCATATTTTATTCCTCTTTTCTAAATTCTGATATCGGATTTTATCCTTCATTCTTATTTTAAAAACATTTTGTAAAATCTGATTTTGTTCTTCTTTCTTATTTTAAATTCTTTTCTAAAATCTGGAATCTGATATTATTCTCTTTCTTATTTTAAGTATTGCTTAAAATAAAATCCTAGCCTCATTATAAATAGTGGATGATGTGCTCGGAGTTAGGGGTCTTGCTTCTGATATATGAATTTATTTTTTAGCCTTGGTATTTTCCCTTCGAGGATTGCATTTGACGTTGAAGTAGTACTCCGACCGTCCCTCTTTCGAGGTGGTGATCGTCTTCAAGGGTTCAAGTGATGCTTTGGTTGTAGCTCAGACGAGGCATTTATCTTACCATACTTTCGTTTACTTGCTGTCATTTTAGAATCCAGCCATCGCAGCCCCTTCTTCCACTGCTGCCAGCCACCTTCCTACTCTCGTCCACCACCGATCCCCTCCAACATGTTGTCAAGCCCTTTCAGGCCTTTTCTGGCCTTTCCCATCGCTGTCAGTGCTTCCCCGCTTTCTGTCGACCCTCCGAAAGTGCTAGTGAACCTTCCTAGCTAGTGTCCTACTTCTTCCACAACAACCCCCATCTCTGCCCTGCCGCCGCCAATCTAGCTTTTGATGGTATTCCTGCTCATCTCCAGCTGTTGTTTGACGCCGTTGCTATCGCCAATCTGCTTTCCTACTTCTTTCACTGCAGCCCCACCTTTCCGGCCTTCACTCTCCAGCTGTTGTTTGACGTCGTTGCTATCGCCAATCTGCTTTCCTTTTTCTTTCACTGCAGCCCCACCTTTCCAGCCTTCACGCAGCCGCCAATCCAACCTTCCCTCACCTGACTCCTTCCTCATCAAGGGGTTGTTTCCTCTTTATTGAGTCATTAGTTTTAATCCTTTGCTTTGTACTTTTGCCTTGGGTGTTGTCTTTCATTATTTCAAGTCTTCATTGTGACATTATTTTTAGCAGTAATAAAAATTGTGTCTTACGTCTTGATTTTAGTTAACTCCGGTATCAGAAAGTCTTTGTAATTATGCATTAGCTCATGAATTTTTAATCTGACTCTCGTTCCCTCACATTGGACAATGATCAACAGTCCCTCACGTGCACAATGATCGACATTGAGTCCGACCATGGGTGTTGGCTTCTAAGTGGGGAATATTTGGGTGGGGTAAAAGTGTGAATTGAATCTATGCTATCGATGTGAGACCTGGTCTGACCATGCACAATTAGGGTTATGAGCTGTAGATAATCTTCATTTGTTCTCTTTTGCATGATCTGTGCCCAGATTTATATCATAAAAGCAATGAGGTTTGTCTCCACAGCTAAGATTGGTTACTACAGTCTTTTACTGGGATAAATTCTGCAGCTAGGTTTTTGTTTCAAAACTGATACGAGTAATTTTTTTTTTTAATTTTGTAAAAGTTTTTTCTAGTATGTCCTTTCTACAAAAAAATATTTGGGTTTAAAAATGTTCTTTCTTATATTGCAGCATCATGTGAAGTTCTAATTTTACTTTAATTCCTAGAAACTGTTTGGCAAGATTCCAAGCAAGGGTACCCATCGCTTTTCCATAGCAAAAAAGGAGACATGGTTGCAAAATATCCCTTAAAGAAAAAGTTTCTTTTCAATCTGTCCTTATAGTTTGGTGGAGATAGAAGTCACTTCTGTTTTATTTAACCTTGAAGTCATCTTAAACCTGTAGGCCCATAGATGGGGCTATGGTTTCAAGTTGTGTTTCCGATTATTGTTAGTCTGTTAAAATTATAATTCATAGCTATAAATTCTTAGATTTTTATGTTTATACTTTTTTTTGGTAATATGAAAGCTGAATTCTAAGGATCCTTTTCTTTACAAGAAAATGAAACAGAAGATATGTAATTACTGTTTTAAATTTCATGAAGATAGAGAGCACCAGATGTTCAAATCAGATAGGGAAACCAAAAGAAAAATGCAAAAATAAAGTTGTTTTCATAAATAATTTCTTGAAAAAGTTGACCAAACATAAGTCCCTCATTAATTTTGTTATTTAAAGCTTTCTTCCCGTTAGAATTCCTGTACCAGAAGTACATTAATATTGTTCCAAAGAACTTTCTGTTATTGTTTGCATTTATTATCAGTCTATGGTGCTAACAATTTACAAAATAAGAGTTGTGTTCATCTTCAGCTGCTAATTGTTGAATTTTTTAAATTAACACATTGCGGACCATACCCAGGAAGAAAACTTATCTTAATTTAGTCTCATTTTTTGTGGATGTTCACCTTGGCATCGCTTAAAATTTCAAACAGCCTGTATTTTTTATATTATTATTATTGGTTTTTTTTCATACGCTATTATTTTCAACTCTATATTCTGTGCAGTTTATTCAGCTGCACCTGGATCCTGCTAGCAGCAGTACTATTCCGCCTAGTGGAACTGGGTCTATAATGCAAACATTATCGGTCACTAATAGCCAACACGGGCAGGTATATCCCTCTTTTTGGTCAGATAATAGGATCATTGCCACTTATTTGAATGATACACATTGAATGGTTCAAATAGTAAAACAAAAGTTTCATGAAAAAAATATATTGAAGTCAAATAATGGGCAAGATTTGATTTTTTGGTTTGAGTATATCTTGAATCCTGATACTATAATTTAGGACTTGATAGAAATTCTTACTTATCTTGTACTATTTATACAGTTGCAAAACTTCTGAGATTCCTATAATTTCATTCCCTGAAGCATTTTAATATATAAGGGATATATATTTTTGGCTATTTATGCCCCTACATCGAATATTTGGTAGCTGTGGTAGTTAATCCGGTGTAATATCTACAAAATTGAATGAAAAATATAAAAGAAAAATTTTGATAGATCTATTCATCATATATTTGAATGGTATCATAGCTGTTAGCTGTCATATTTTGGGTCTCGTGATAAAGTCTCATCATTGTTCTGGACTTGATCGGCTTTCTGCTACCTGAATCTTTTTATTAAAATAACAACTGCTCCTTCATCAAGTAATATGTGTCTGGTGATTTATCATTCAGTTAGCTGTTAGTCCTGCAATATCTGAGTCATGGACAAAGGATATTACAAATATTTGCATTTAAAATAAATATTTGGATTATTGGATTAATTTATTGTTGATGACACCATGAGAAATGCAAAATTGATTTTTTTTTTTCATTTATTGAAGAAGACTACGCTAGTACATTAGTGGCAATTGTAACCTTTCTGAGGTTTATCTTCATTAAGTCAAAACCATTTTACCATATGAAGTTAATAAAGCTAATCCATCAATAGCTCATAATTTTCTACATCATTCCCCATTTTTTTCTTACCTGTTTAACACATCAATGACATGCAGAGCTTTATGATATGTACTACTTATTTTATAATTTAAATGTGGTCTTGTTGTATTTTGATGGCATTTGAAATTATTGGCATGCATCATTGACCAAATTATTTCGGACATGGATGATATGTAACATATTCTTAACCTTCAGTTATCATATTCCATCTTTTTTTAAGCAAAAGCATAATTATTTTTATTTTTAGAATGCAAATCTGCAAAACTTCTTGTATTTTTCAAGGAGTGAAGTGCCAAAATGGTCCCATGATTATTTATATGGAGTCATTTTAGTCCTGGAGTCTATGAAAGCATCAAATTAATCTTCATATTTTTTATAAATGGGCAGTAGTTCGCTGGATAAACTATCCCATTAAAAGAATGTGGGGATTAAATTGAGACTTTTTTTAACTTTGCGACTAAAAGAGGACCATTTTGTCACTCCTCATTTTGCAAAGCTACCTGTCACATGAGAAGCTATTTATTAGCAAAAGAATGGAACTTACCAAATAGATGCCTACAGTACTTTTACAACTGCAAAACTCGGGGATTTAAATTCCCTTAAATCTGCTGTGATAGATTATTAGGCTAATAGCATTAATTTCTAATAAGTTCAACTTTTGTTGATCTATCCCATTTATATGATGACTGATGAAATATTGTGTTTTTGTTCTTCATGCTTCTTACTGATTTCCTACTCTAAAAAAAAATTCTTGAATTCAATATATTGTTGCAGAAACCGCTTGCAATGCGTATAAGGATGGCTTATAAAGTGAATAACAAAGATATGCTAGAACAAGGACAGATTACCAGCTTTCCTCCTGGCCTGTAACGGTGAGCAGAGTTCCTTGTCTTTGTGATATTGCTCTATTGTTTCAATATCCACAGGCAGGCCCAAAATTTCCATTTTTTTAAGGAAAATTAGTGATGAACATGAGAAAATATAGGCATTTTTCACTCTAGTGTGGAGCGCACATCATGGTTGTATTTCGATGCTTTTGCGTTTTCGATCTGTAGCTTTGTGTATATTGGATACAGCGTTTGAAAAAAGATGATTCTTTGAAGGAGAGTAGCATGTACGCTGGAACTTAAAACACTTCCATAAATTTTGTTTCGAAATTGTATTTGTATTTAGTTGTTTCATTCTGAATCATTGGTTTTCTTTTCTTTTCATATGACATTTCACGCAAAATGTTGCTCCTTCAAAATTATTATACTTTTATCTTGCTTGGGATCTTCTTTCTAAAAGGGCCATCTTTCTGTCGCAGAGCCAAAAGTTTTCTTATACGAGGCATATAAATTAATTTTATTATTTGGAGGAGCATAAATTGAAGTATTATGATTAGAATGATCAAATATCTTAGGTGGGTGGGTGCGTACATGCGTGGGTGTGTGTATGTGTGCGCGAGCGCATGTGTACATGTATGTGCATGCACAAGGATGTGTGTGTGGGTGTATGGGTGATAAATTAGTAGGATTTATGCTCTTCATGCCCTCTTTAAAATTGCCCCTGCCTTGATAGCGTACATGCGTGGGTGTGTGTATGTGTGCGCGAGCACATGTGCATGCACAAGGATGTGTGTGTGGGTGTGTGGGTGATAAATTAGTAGGATTTATGCTCTGCATGCCCTCTTCAAAATTGCCCCTGCCTTGATGCTATTTCTCTCTCTACAGGGATCACAAATAATTTTTAATGAATAAATTGGTTGGGTGTTGATGGTTGGTCAATCTGGAATTGATTTAAGTGCAAGCATCTTCTAATGAATTATTAAGCCAATCATTTCCAACTAGAGCAATTAGTTAACACACGCAAAGTAATGTGTGTATTTATGGCTATGTATTTACATGTATTCAATTATTCATTGATTTCTATTGAGTTATGTAGAATGATTTTTATTTAACACAAAATAATGTGCAAAATGATACCATTTATGGCTATGTATTTTACTTTCAGCTTGATTTTGGATTACATAATGGAGCTCATAATTTAGAACATTTTCCCACTAGACCTTCAAAATTTTCCGAGCACATCAAACTGTTTCAACCATTTTAAAAGCTTCCATGCTTTATATGATATTTAATTATGAATATTATTGTCTATTAATGTATTGGCCGTCCATCAACAGCTTAGCATAATTTTTCTAAAATTGAGGGGTGGAAAAATGACTCATCTTGAACAAACTACTAAGATGGGTTGGTCATATATGTCAAGTAAAACTATTAAAATTGTGCAGTCCTTGTAAAATTCAAAGAGTTTTGATGGTTTTCTTGTGTTAGATTAATCAGAGAGGGATAAGGAAAATTTGTGAGGAAAATAGAAATATTACTGTGTGAAAGAAATGTAGAGGCCACCTTGATCAAGCTTTTATAAAATCATATAAATTATTTATTTAATGAAAAATGAACCAATGAACACATCAAATGTGAAATCTAATGTCCAAATCTTACCCCTATTGAGTTTTTGTCAGTTCTTAGATATGTTTATTTTGTTTATTTTATTATTTTGTAGAATTAGGGTTAGTTTTGCTTCAACTATTGATTTATTTTCAACTGTTCTTAGTAGTTAGTTTTTAAATCTCTATGGGTTGATACTCAACTCATTCTTTATTACTTCTTGATTTGTCTTCTGTTGTACGATTATCATTATATTATTATTATTATTATTATTATTATTATTATATATATATATATATATATTCCTTTTTTGGCCTTGCTCTATTTTGTTAGACTTCCATTGTTGTCTGCAATTGTTGCGGAGGTGTGCAACAATTACCTTCATATCCAAAAATCAAATAAACCTTTCTAAGCATGCTATAAGAGAGGAAGTAGACTTATTGTTTGGTGCTATTTAGTATAGCAAACCATGATGTTAGAGCGGGCCTGGTCATGGGGGCTTGTTCATAATGGGATTATACAGCTCTTATGGTGCATGGCCGCTCGTAGGCCATTCTCGAGCTAGGCTTGCATATAATCAACTTTGAAATGAAGCACACAACACTCTATATGATTCAAAACTTCCAATCTGAGGTCTACACCATCAAAGATTTAAAGGCATGAATCATACTTCTTTTAGAAATTTGTGATACATTCAATTATAATGGAGTATTAGATAATGCTATATAGCTCAGAGTGTTTTCATTCTAACTTTGGGATAACACAAAAAGTTAGCTAAATTCTTTTTCAAGTGAATCCATATTAATTTAGCACATTGTAACTCAAAAGTTTCTTGTTTTGTTTCATTTTTTTTAGAATCAGAGTCTATAACCTACTTAATCATCATCTTAAGATTCCCTTTCTAAAGAGTTCTCTTACTTGAATTGTTGGAACAATACGAATAAGAGGGATACAAAAACGTATGTCAAAAAATTAGGCAGATAAATTAAAAAAAAACATGGAGAACTTATGTAGGTTAAACTTGATGCAATGGGGCAGGAATATATGTCCAGAACAAAACAGAATCAAAACATCCTATAACACGTTATCCATGAAGAGAATCTCCAATAAGCTACCCATAAGCAGAGAACCAAAAAAAAGAAACATTTTTTTTTTGTTTTGGGGTCAAGAATACCTCTTAAAGGATCATATCTCTTTAGTTAATTACATCTTAGGGGATACCCAAGAATACTCTTAATTAATGGGAGCCTTGCCAATGCTTTTGCGATGAACTAGTTGAAAGGGGTGTGTCAAAGAATATGGTTACACTGACCAGGAACGTCTCAATGCTTCAAAGCCTATACCGAGCCATGAGGGTAGAGAGTGAATCTCTCACATCCCAAACGAACGGTGGCTAATCGAAAACTGAAGTTTACTGAGGTAACCAGATCATCAAGAGGATTATCCCACCACTTCAAGGACATACTGGGTCATAAGGATAAAGGGTAATTCGTCATATCCCGAATGGGTAGCAACTTATTAACTAAATGAGACCCGCTAAGTGATATCAACAATATGTCAAAGACATGATTGGGGTCAACAGAGCTTCCAAAGGATGGTGAAAAAAATCCTAATCAAGTAGAAGTAGTCAAGTCAGGATGTCATGAATCTATCATCTCAAACTACTGAAGTCCGAAGTCCACCAGGTCGTGAAGATAGTCTACCTAACCCATATAAGACTCATTGTCAGCAACCCATGTGTTTTATCCTCATAAGAATCCCAGTGTCCCTATGGTCAGAGGAAATAAACCTCTGAATCCTATGACTCTAAATAGGTGGAATTCATAGAATTTGGGACTTACACATGCTAACATAAGCGATAAGAAGCCATAAGAATAGAAAGAAAAGAGGGGTCCAGCTAGAAAGCCAAAATCGTCTCACAAAGGACTTACACCCCATCTAAGTTGGGGAGCCTTCAAACACCCAAGGTATTCTAGACAGCCACCTAAGTAAAAATTAATTAATACTTAGCCAGTTATGTTGGAGAAGTACGATGGCTTCTCCTTGAGACATGCAAAATGCAGTGCAATTATCAAGAGCATTCCTTAAATGTTGAGGCTCTATTGAGCATGATTGAGTGATGCTATGCATGTTGACTCGTTTAAATCTAGCCCAAAGGCCATGTAGAAAATAAAAGTAATTTTGAGAAGTGCTGATATTTTAATCCTATATTTTAGATTTTATCTTAATCTCTTATTAGGACTTTTAGTAGAAAATTTATAATCTTTGGAACCTTAAACATCCTAAATTATACTTTCATTAAGCATCCCAAACAAACCACAATCAACAAAGATAAAATGACAGGCACACAACACAAAAGCAATAAAATCCAAAAATAATGAATAAGAAATTGAATGTCGTTGGGTAGGCTACATATCTCAGAAAAACAAAAGTTCATTTTCAGGCTTCGTATATACATGATTGAACCTAGATCTATACATTAATATCAAAATATTGAATTAAGATACTGTACAGGAGCATACGGTTTTTGTCCTCGTCATGTGATTCCATGCCTAAAACACCTTGAAACCCATGCTTATATCTTATTTTTGCTATAGACTCTATTCTATGACTCTAAAAAGTACATAATAAAGTCTAAAAACAAAGACTCTACTAGTAAAACAGAGAAGTTTAGCACAATTTATCTAATGCAATTTTGATGAACCAAGCCTCTAGAGGAGAGCTTAGCAAGCACCTGCTGAAATGCATTAGTATAAAACATTGCATTTCTTCTCATTTTCAGGCATGGTTCTCCTATAAGAAAACACCCTAATATACTAATGCACACGCCCAAACCCTGGAAAAGGCTAACACAAAAAAAGCTTGGTTAGGCACAAACCATCACAATAGTTAGCGCATATGAAAATCCTAACTACACCCTAACTGAAGTTTAATAAACATCTATTACAAGGTTGTCCTATTCACAATCACCTAAGTGTGTGCAAAAGTGTGGGTAAAGGGCTTGTGCATGACTTTGACGTGGTCGCCGACCCCTGCCCCATCTTGAAGATCTAAGGGTTCTAAAGCATGCCACAAGAATGATAACTTTAGAAAATATTTTGAAAATGTGATCTTACATAGGGTCTAATTAATTTTGCACTTAAGTTTTAAAATACATTTTAAAACATGATGCATAAGTAATAAAAATAATTTTTTTTATATATTTTAAAGTAATCCTAAGAAAATAACGCCTAAATGACATGTGTTAAACTCCATAGAAACTTAGCACAATAATGCACGTATTGATCCTAATGCAATAACTTGCATTGCTTACAAAGATATCCTCGCAAGAAATGTTTATTAATGCATTAAGACCAACATCGTGTCATTCATCTAAAAGAAAGCTTATCATCCAGATGAATCAGGCTATGATCATACAAATGCCATCAAAGGATGATCAGACTACGATCATAGGGGAGCCATCAAGGCTGGTTGGGCTATGGCCATAAAGGTTCCATGAAGGCTGATCATGTCACGATCATTAAAAATGCATAATGATCCGATGCAGCATGAAAAATCACAATCAAACATCGAGAAGACCGACATGACTCGATCTCTATATCAACATATAAGCGACCAAGTTAAATGTCAGACGAAAATTAAAGACTATTATATAAAAGACAAACAAACCATTGTGGGAATGTGGGGGACACATGTCTGCAATAAAGAGCCAATACAAATACTAATGCAGGACAA